TTTGTTTGTTTTGAAAACAAATATTATGCCTATCTATAAAGTATAAAGATTGGTATCAATCTAAAGCCAATTATAAATATAACCACCTATTATATTTCTTCCAGTTATAAATGCACATTCAATTTTGTACATAACTGTGTATTTCGATGAGTATAAACATTACAAATACAGAATTTCAGAAATAACAATTACTATGGATGTGAGAAATATGTATTAACATAAAGAAACATAATAAACTAAATGTTCAGTTACATTAATAAAAGTTTAATTACATAATTATATGTACAATCAAAACCGGTGAAGGCTGAAAACAGACGTTTCGTATACTGTATATTGAACAATTGTATTTTTGTGACTGTTGATAATCAAGATTATTTAGGATTTCAAACGAACGTTTATAAACACGTAATGTTGTGCATGCTTCTACGAAAACAGGCACACATGGTCGAAGTTTTGCTAAATGTCAAGTTATGTCATGCAGCTTCTGGAAAGCGGCCGACAATCTCGCACCGACACAATGTATTGCGGAGGTTGATAGAGCTTGCGGTTGATCAGGGAACAGAGAAGCATCTGATCGACGGATTCAAAGATTCGAAAATAATGAACCGCAAGAGTTTTGATTATTTTGAAAATTAGCCATTTCAATGAGACATATGGCGGCGAACAATTTACCTTCCGTAGATTCCCTCGGTGAGCTTGTTGCGTTTCAAGGGCCTCCGAAGCTTACCGCACTCAACATTTCTTCTCTTCATATTCCTTGACACTTTCACTACGACCAAAGCGACGTTATTCGCGGCGAGCAACAGAACCGAAAAAACCGCAAATTTTCTACGGAGTCGTGAAAAAATCCACTGTCTCGCGCGCGACTTCTATCAGACTCTTTTGTTGTCATTCGTCTGCGGACAGATTCGAGGTTTTACAACGGTTTACCAAGCAGCTGATTGGTCCATTGTGGGACATGGCGCTAATCACCAGCAAATATCACCTGCTGGAATATTTACTTGCCGACCTGCTTTTAACAAGTTGTGCACGTTTTCTTTCACGTTTCGACGAATAAACTTGTGTTTCACAGTGGAAATTGTTGCTTTAGATAAGTCTGGATTATAGACTTTATCGATCGTATGTGCCTTCGATTGCACCATAGGTCAATCGACTTGTTTCACTTACGTTAACAGCGCTCTGACCTGGCAATATGCGTTGCTCCTTTCTGTCTCTCCTCACTTCTATCTTCCTTCCTCTTCACTATGTATGCTATTACAGTATTTCTCGTTGTAAGTTCAAATTGTCCTCCACTTCATAAACTCATTACTATACCTTCTATCCTCGTGCGGATCATGATTTGAATGGTTGTTGAATTAAGATAATCAAAATTTGCCGTAACAATTAAAGCTAGTTTCTTAAAGTTGTGCAATGCACAACGTTACGGGTTGAGATTTCGATGTACAAGTCGCAAAAATCTTTACGAATATCGTTTTATTCCATAGCAAACATGTTTCTTCGTATAATTTTTTCGAATTATTCTATTAGAAAACGTGAAATAAAATCTACTATAGGGCTGAATGTTTACTATTATTTCTGTTTTCATCCTCAACTGTTATTTTGAATATCAGAAAAGAAATTTTCTCATGTTATTAATTATGCATATAAAGATGTATTAGCTATTTATAAAAAAAAACATGTGAAAAATAAGTTAAGATTACATACAGTGTTTTGTGAATAAAATGTATAGTTAAGGAACAAACTTTTATTTTCAAGTTTCAATTCTTGAATAAATTTAATTCTATTTTGAAATTTATGGACATTTCGATATTTATCTAAATTTACACTGTAAATAGTTTTTATCTTGTTTTATGTTTTCTTTCTCTTTTGCCTTAAGTACGGTACACATAAAGACAACAGGTCACAAGTCATTTCTTAAATAAGTTACTCGGTGTAGATTTACAAACCCGTAATAGAAATTAATGAATTACATATGTACATATGTATGTATTTTTATTAAATAAATGTATAAAAGCTTTTA